ATGGAATCTAATTTTTTTCTTTATATTTTGGAAGTTTTAATGTAACAGTGAGAAGTTATATACACATTACATCTCTATGTTTGTCCTTATTATCAACTTAATAGTATCCAAATTATATATCACTTTCTGATTTGCGTTTGAGGTCTTTCCTTAGTAAAATAGTTAAAAGTTAAGCCCTAAATTTCATTTGTCATTTTTGCATCACTCGTAAGAATTTTTAAACTTATTTTGCTGTCTTATTTACGTATCATTTGTTATTCAAATTTCCAATGGAAAGTTTTATTATGGGGAAAATGCAGATCTTTTCCATGTAGAAAATATAAGGCAAAAGGAGACATTTGTAAATTAGTTTATTAGGGGTGAAGAGTGGGTACCTTTGGGGGCTAACCTTTAAGTTAATTAGAAAGTTAAAGGCAAATTACAGTGCACCTGACCCTGCCATGCTAAATGCTATGCCCACACCCATGATGGCTTTTAGAGAGTAGAAATTTTCTCCTGTCATTCATATAATTTCTCAAGAAGATCTTTCAGTGCCAGTGTCGCACACAGCATGCTTATTTGTGTGAGATAAGGCAATTCTTCTGTTTGCATATTTCTTATTTCTTAAATACATCTAGCTTTTTAAAAGGCTCAGTGTTGAAGACAGTTCTGAAATAGGCAAGAATTGAAGCACCAAAGGCTGGAAGGAGCTATTGCAATAACCCAAGTCAGGGACAATGACAACTTAGACTCACGTGGTAGCAGAGATGGAAAAAACCCAACAGAGTCCAGACGTATTTAAGTAGATAAAATTGACAGGATTTCATGGGATGAGGAAGACAATGATTTCAAGGAGGACAAGCAATATAGTGTAGTGGCTGACGGTGTGAGGGTATAAGCCCTACATGGTCTCAAACTTCAAGTCTGCCATTTCCAGGCTCTGTAACCTTGGGCAACACACTTAACCTCTCTGTGTTTCACATCTTCATGTGTAAAGTGAGATAAAAGCAGCTCTACCTTCATTGTGTTGTAAGAAAAAGGTGAATTAAACCATTTATTTGATTGTAACTTAAAGCAATGCCTTTACATACGAAGCCCACTCTAAGTGTTTGTAATTATGGTGCTGGTAATGCTATTATCTTATATAGATGATCCTGAAGAAAAACAGCGTTTGAGAAAGGAAATAATGAATTCGGTTTTGAACATTTTGGGGTTGGAGTTTTATTTTAAAACATTCAAATTATGTTGAATGGACAGTTGGATATATAGGTCTAAAAGGAGTCTGGCTAAAGACAGAAGTTCAGTGGTCTCGTATGTCTTTCATTATATCAATGAAAACATATGAAATTTCCTAAGGAGAAATATTACTGTGAGAAGAGACAAGTACCTTTGATAAAGTTTCAAGCAATTTGTTTTAAGAAAGGATCAAGGGAAATAAACTGGTGAGGAAGACAGAGGAACAGGGAGAGATGTAGAAGAAAAACTGGAAGACTGAGTTATCACAGAGCCCAAGCAAGAGTTTTCCGGCAGAAAGGAGTGATCAGCTCTTTTATGTGCTGCTAAGAGGTCTACCAAACTGACACTGAGAAGTATCCATTGGGTTTAGGAATGTGGAGGTTATTGATAATCACAGCAAGTGCGTGTTGGGTGGATTGAAGAGACAGAAGCCAGATTTGATTGGGTAAAGCAATGGAGTCAGTGAATGCTGAGAACTCTTTTGAGTAGTTTGGTTGTGAAAATGGAGGTGATGTGGGTCATTGAGAGGGGGCTTAAGAAGGCCTTCTCTGTTTTCTTTTGAAAAGATGACTTGAAAATGATTAAACATTGATGGGAAGATTCCAGTAAAGTCTACTGTATAAGGTTTCTGAGAATGTCTGAGAGACAGGAGTCCAGAAACAAGTTGAAGGTGAGACATTTATTCTTTTGTATGTTGAGAGGAGGAGAAGGAGGGGCAGGTGCAAGTAGGTTTCTAGTTTGTCTGCTGGCTTCCATTTTCCCTGGGGAGTGGGAGGCAAAGCTACGTGTGAAGAGTGAAAGGAGGGAAGTGGGAAGGTTCCCAGGTTTCTCGGGGAGACAGCTAGAATCATTTGGTCAGAGAAACACAGCAGGGTAGAGGTGCGGCAGGAACGAAGCAATTGAAGGCGGTGATCCTGAATGTAGGGAACCCATTCTCTACCGTGTTTAATTCTCACCACCTGTACTGGGCTGCTCAGGGGCAGACATGACATGGAGAAAGTAAACGGTTGGGTTCATCCAAAGTGAACATTTTGCTGAATAACTACCACTCAGAGAGAGACAAGAGAGTTTAGGGTTTTGTTGAGAAAGTTATTGATGGTGGTGATGGCTTCCTAGGTATGTACTTATCCCCAAACTCATCAACTTGTATGCATTAAGTATGCACAGCATTTTACATGGCAATCATACCTCAGTGAATTGGCTTTAAAACTACACGCCTAAAAAAAGAGAAAGTTACTGAGTTGGTTTACCAAGGAATCCAAACTGGATAAGACAGGAAGCGAAGAGAGGAGAATAGTAACTAGGTACTTCGGTGACCTAGACTTGTCAGTAGAGCTGAAGGAAAGCAGAGATAAAAGTAAGTCACCAGCAGTTGGAAAAGACGCTGTGGTTAAACAGGAGAACTCTTGGTTAATAGGGTGGTAAAATGAGACTCTTTCTATCCCTGAAGAACAAGCACATACCATAAGTATTCCCATGCTTTTTTTGCATGGGATTTGCAAAGGGAGCAGCCAAAAAACCCTTTTAGACTCTTAAATTTAGTTTTGAAGATGAGAGGGCTGAAAGATAGTCTACCTTTGAAGGAAGTTAGAATATTTTCCCAAACCCGGTCTGACCTGTATGGTCAAGGTCGGGGCGGGGGGAGTCGTCCACTTACCTCAAGACAGTGTGATAGATGTTGAGAAATCACCGCTTGGAGAACTTGAGAGTCTGTTTCCTAGACTTAGAGGCAATCAATAGGCCAGTATTTGAGGTACTCCTGAAATATTTAGAAGTGAAAGTCATGGCTGAATCTCCTTACTAACGGAGTTCCAGCTGCACTCTCACTGAACAGGTAGAGGAGCCTGTTTCCCGTGGACCAGATATAGGGAATATATAAAAGGAGTGGCACTTGGGGTCATTTCAAAAGCAACTTTCCCCAAAACAGCTTCTTGACAGGCATGTTGACCTCCACATAAAGAGACTGGGTGGACGACCATCACACTCAGAAACCACGAGTGTGTCGTAAGAGGAAGAGATGGATTACTACACAGGAGGGGCAGCAACCTGATGTCCCTACCTGGGTGATAGGAATCCATAATCCATAAAAATCCATGGCAGGCCCACTGGATAGAGCCATTTTGAACACCCATCAAACCCACAGAGTACTGATGTCACATCTAATTTAAACCAGTCAAATAAGACCTCTTCTAAGCTGAACCACTCCTCTCCTGAACCTGTTCGTTCCCTGCCACTCCGAATATGGAGGATTTAGAAACTTGAACTAGCAGGTGGTGGGAGCAGTTGGAGCTAGAAGAGGGAGACAAAGCCTAACCCACAAGCCCACTTCTGACTGCGGGCTGTTCAGCGGGCCTGACCTAGGGGGCGAGTGCAAGTAACCTTAGTAGAGGTGGGACTTTTGTTATTAAATAGCACACGATTCATTTTAGCCCTGAAATTAGATTTTTTTTCTAAACATGACTAAAAGATCATTTATTAAATGAAGTGATCAAAAAATGTAGATTTTGCCCCAGATACCACCCCAACGATAGCACGAATCAGACCCACAGAGTGTGTTAAATGGGCCGTGCATGAGAGAAGGAATGAAGTTCCTGTTATCTTATCCCTTAGGAAGTTCCGTTCTTAAGCAAAAATATTAAAATAGTGATTTTTCAGATGGAGCCATTTGAGGATGTGCTGTTGTCCAGGAGCTGTAGGAGGGGGTGACTGAGGGAGAGCAGGCTTGAAGGTCTCTAAAAAATGTGTAAGGCCAGGATGTTTGAAGGGCTATAATGAACACGGTATAGTTACCCAGATGCTGATGGATTTGGAGGATAGAGGAATGCTGTGTCATCTTAAGTGGAGGAATGCAAATGTCACCTTAAATGATAGCCGTGGGTGACCAGGAGATTAGGACATCATATTCAAAACAGAGCAGAGAGAGAGAGATACCCAAGTTACATGAGCCTTAAAGAAAAATAGGTTTATTTCCATGTGAGTAGAGGATTAATGTTCTGGAAGAGAGTAGGGAACAGGAGAACACTAACTCCATCTCTCAATGCCGAAGTATACGGGGTTGAAAGCATTCAATTTAGACATAGTTGTATCCTCTGGGGGGCCATCAAAAGCACCAAAGCACAAAAATAGAGAAATGCTCTAAAAAGAGGTTTAGGAACTCATTGACCGTGTACCACCAGTGCAGAGGGAAAACTGGGAAGATTTGGGGTGGTGGTGAGAAGGGAAAAAAGGAGGTAAGAGTTAGCTCAGGAATAAGAAAGAAGAATGACTGAATGAATGAAATTATGTTCATAAAATATATCAGTGTTTAAATATTTTTATTGTTAACATTTCTATTGATGGAAAGACAAATGCTGCATTATTGGGCTACCATAACAGAATACCATAGACTTAACAGGAATTTATTTCTCCCCATTCTGGAGCCTGAAAATCCAAGATCAAAGTGCCAGCAGGATTAGTGTCTGATGAGAGCTCTCTCCTTAGGTTGCAGATGGCTGCCTTCTCTCTGTGTTCTCATGTGGCAGAGAGAGAGATCAAGCTCTCTGGTGTCTCCTTTTATAAGAGCACTCATCCCGTCATGCCAGGGTCCCACCGGCATGATCTCATCTACCCCTCATTACCTCCCAAAGTCCCCATCTCCAAATACCATCATACTGGGGGCTATGGCTTCAGCATATGAATTTGGGGGATGGGGTAGACACAAACATTCAGCCCATGACAGATGCCATTACTGCTTGTTACGACCACAAACAGAGCTACTTCTCATAGTACATTTTATTGTTGAACAGAATTCAGGCACAGGAAACAGATATCGAACGAAGAAGGACCACATGATGTGTAAACTTATGTGCTTGTGCATTGCCTACTCTTCTACCATTGGTGGACTGACAACGATCACTGGTACCTCCACCAACTTGATCTTCGCTGAGCATTTCAATACGTAAGTAAAATTATTGGGTTGGTGATTTGCTAAATGGGCAGCACACAAATTATAAGAATTATTCTTAACTTGTTTCAGAGAATCCAAAGACAGAGATGCCATATTGAATCCCGCCAGGACTTCTATAGGTCTAGAAATGTTCTCTTCTACTGAGAGTTAAATATGTAGTGAATTAACAGATGTCTGCAGATTCCAAGGCCAGCTTAGAAGAAATAGCTTGTAGATGACCACGCTAATCGAACACAGGAGATACTCTTCATTACAAATAATATTGCAAATTATAGTTACCTAAGGGAAAAAGGGATTGTTTACATGGGACAATTTATGTAGGGCTTGGCAACTGACATTTGAACTTCAGTGATGAGTGGTAAACAGAAGTGCCCATCACAGAAGGTTTGGCATTGCAGTCGAAAAAGATATGAAAGATTGAGCAACTACAAAAAAAAATTGCAGTAATAGCATATTCTAAGGACAGATGTACAAATCTAAATATAGTTAGTACTGTGATGTCAGTCCAATGCAGGAAATGGGGAAAGTTGGATACAGTCAGAGCATTTGAGTTAAAAATTCCATAGTTTCCAGTCATTTATTTGGTGAATTTGAACAATAAAAAGTGAATAACTCTTTTTTCATATCTCAAATAGTCACAGTTGATATGATGATTGTGAGAATTAAATGAAATAAACTATGTAAAAATACTTAACACTACATAAGAACTATTGGAGCAGTAGTTTGAAAGTCCATGCTTCTTTGTGAGAGCTCAAACTGATCCGATACCCAAGGTGTATTTTCAAGTACTAATAGAATAGATAATAGTCAGAGTTTCAGAAGGTGGGTGGCATTGAGGATGTCCTGGAACAGGATTTAGGTCCTTTTCACAGAAAAATTAGGGTTCAGAGGCAGGAAAACCACATTCTAGGAAGCAGATTCACAGACTTTGTGAACTTTCTGAAATTATTTGCAAAATGTTCCAAGAAATCCAAGATCAAAAAGTGTCGTCCTCCATTCTGTAAAGAATGAAAGCTTGTGTACAAAAAACACTGGTGGGTATAGCTCAGTGGTAAAATGTATGCTTAGCATGCATGAGGTCCTGGGTTCAGTCCCCAGTACCTCCATTTTAAAAAATAAAGAAACAACAAAAAAATCACTGGCATAGCAGTTTAGGGACAATATAACACAGACCTCCACGTGCACTCATTGTTTCTGTGAGTACACATCTATCGTGCAAACTCCGCCTGCCGACTTAGAATAGAAATTTTGAAAGACATTTAGTTTGTAAGTGGGAGACTTCTGAAGTTCACAGTGCCAGAAAGGATTTATCCAATATATCTCCTAGTTCAAGACAAGACAGGAAATGTACTTGATCCTTTTCTATGAGCTGGACCTCTGTCCTTTCTCATGAATTCCCCAAAGAAAGAGATTCCACTTCTTAGTCCTTTCTGTAAATCTCTTTTTCTAAAAATTAGAGCAAGTTTTTCTTGTTTTATCTTTTTTGATGTTAAAGAACTGCTGGTTTCCATCATTCCCATGAAATTAACTTGAGATCGTCAAAGTAATCCATATTGAGTTTGCCTTTGGTCTTTGTGTTCTTGCCCGATGTATCAACGAGATTTCCTTTTTTTTATTTAACTGTTCCCGTGACTCTCTGAATGCATTCATCCATTTGCAGTGACAGATTGAGAGCACTGTAGCACTTTGAGCAAAACGCTTCAGCAACTATTTTCTCTAATTGTCTAAACTTCTAATTCTCCTAATCATGGGAATTTGGCCAAAATCTTCTTTAAATTTAGAAAATGCTTAAAATGTACTTTGAAATTTAGTGATTTTTTTTTCTTCAAGTTTGTTTAACATTAAAACTTATTTGAAAACTGGAAAAAAATCAAAGTATCCCCTCTTGATAGAAAATATTGAAATAGAAGGGGGAAAACAACCTTATGTGACAAAATATAACTGATACTATTAAACAAGCTAGATATTTAATAAATGTTTCCATGAATATTGACCCAGAAGGATACAGCAGCATCCCAAAGTAACAATAGGATGAAATGCATTCAGTTTCACGGGAAAAAGTTCCAGAAACTTAAAACTGCAAAAAATAAAAAAAAAGATTCCTACTGTATGTCCAGATGTTTGGAGTCAAAGAGAAATCGCCCTTTATTTCCAAATCCATTACAATAATCTCACCTTTCGTCTTGACACTGTTTGCCATCTCTTTGAGCAATACCAATGATCATTTTGTACAAATTCATTTTGGGTCTTACCAAGCTCCAAAGGGCACATAAGACTGACAGTCAATGATTTCCTACCATTGACATTTAGAGAAAGGCAACATCTTACAAATGAACTATGGGAGGAAGAGATTGGATAAAACATTTCAAAGCTTTATCTATCTGTCTATTTATTTGTATATAAAATATATATTTATATTATATATGTAATGTCTTTTGTTCTCTTTTTTACACAAAGAAAATAATAATGAATTCTGAGAAAACTAAATTTTATTCAGTGCAAATAAAAACACGTCTTCATTCATTCACATAGTCAATCAACAAACATTTGTCAAGGACTGACTTGCACATTGCACAGTATAACCAAAGGCAGAGAGTTCCTTTAGAACAAAGGAGATGTCAGTTTGCTTTTATACTCAGAGAAAGGAGCCAGTAAAAATAGATACGTGAGGTTTAGGGGAAAAAAGAGAAAGAGAATATTGATTGGCTAAGTGTCAAGTGGAATGAAATGAAATTAGAAACAAGAGTAGAAATGTTAGTCTTGGAAAAGAAGGACATGTCCTCCTGAGTGATAATGAAAGGGAATAAGTGAAGACAAAGAAATCTCACATTGAGTATACAATGCCCTCATTTCACAGGTGAGGAAACCAAGGCTCCAAGAGTTTAAGTGACAATCACTAGTCAGTGGAGGCCCTGGGAGGTGAAGCAGATGGCCTGAGTCCCAGTGCCCTTTCCAACCTGCAGCCTCATTGCCTCGCAGACCATCTGTGAGGGGCCATGTGGGCAAAATTCTAAAAAAGAAAGTTTGCTGCCAGTGACAATTAAAAACTGCATTGGTATTTGCACTCATGTGTTGCAATTTCTTTTTCATAAAGTATAAACATGCACATGTAACAGGTACAGTTTGAAATAGTTGCAAAGCTGAGAATGTGGCTAGTTTGGCTGAACCATCTCCTTCTTGTCATAAACTGATGTATAGCTTGGAAGGTGATTTTCAGAACAACACTAACAAGACTGAGGCGATTAGCTAACTCAACCATAAGGTATGGAATTTCTCGCATTCTTAGTCTTTGAATCTAGGACCTGTGGTGCCTGAATTCTGACTCCCCTGTGATTAATTCATCATTAGTTTTGACTAATCTTTGGGGTAGGGCATTCTGGAAATGTTCTTTGTTCACTCTACCTTCTGTTACGATCTGACAGGTCCTTTGGATTCTTGTTGGCTCCTCATTAGGGAAATCCTGCTTGCTCGGTGCTCTACCTGACCCTTCTGCTCCACTGCTCCACTCTTCCAGTCATCACCCAATCTTCTCCTTTCCTCACACTATTGTTAGTAAATGCCATCCTGTAATTCACCCATTTCTTCCTACTCTGCTTCTAGAAAGACCCACCAATTCTGCCACCTTCTTTCTCGACTTGTGTGGATTCTATACCATTTGAGACTCTGTTCAGTTTCTCCTAAACTTCCGTTCCCATCTCCTCTTGTCATAAACTGTGTTCACATTTCTATAAACTTGCCTCATCCACATACATGCACAGCCACCACCCTGGGTCGCCAGCTTGTAAAAGCTGAATGAATTTTGTCTCCTTCTTGAAGCCTACACGGGGCACCAGTAGGTGATCGATAAGCATTGATTGAGATGAACTGTACCAAGAAACTCATGAAGTGCTGACTGTTCCTGGGAATCACCTAAGTAACTGCATAATCTTTTGATATTAAAATAAAATTATTAAGGGAAATACTACTAGGGACAGTTACTGCTTTCCTAACAGTGCAGTTTTGATGCATCAATATCGCTTAACAAATACAACAGCTATTAGTTAAACATAAAAAGCAAATCTTTTTTGTTTAAGATCAAGAATGGAAAAGTATCCCAAGTAAAATTGCACGGCTTGCTGATTATCAAAGTATATTCATTCAGCTTGTGGGTGTCAGCTGTGAAATACGTGGGTACACAAAGCAGCTTAGAAGGAAGTTGAATTATCGATGATTAGCACAGTCGTTGTTACTAATTACATGTTAAATAATAACTATTATAGGTTCCCAGACCAAGAAATAGTAAAAGAAATGTGTTTATAGGTGCCCTAAATTCAAAGCCCACCTCCCTAGCCTCTCTTCTTGGCTAATTAGAGAGGGAGAAGGTAAACCAGTTACTTAGCAATAGCTACTTTCAAAAGTTACTGTGATTTTCCTCTGCAGAAAAGAGCAATATGTAATTCTAATAAAGAATTTCTCTAGCAGATACTATAGAAGAAATGTGGGCATTGCAGAGTTTGGATTCAGATTTTGGTTCAGATTTCAATCTTGCCATATATTGGCTTAACTTCTGTGAACATCAGTTCCTTCATCTGTAAAATGGGGACGAAACTCCTCATCATTATGAGAAATAAATGGCTTAATGCATACATGGCTCTTAGCAGGGGGTCTGGCAGGTAGGAAATTGTCAATAACGCCAGCCATTGAATTGGCACTAATTCTTCTTTAAATGTTTGGTAGAATTCACTAGTGAAACCATCTGGCCCTAAGCTTTTCTGTGTCGCCACTGCTTCTAGTTTTGCTATTGCTGTTAGAAATCTAAGCCAGGCTCATGGGTAACAGGTAGTTAATGTTTGAAAAGAAACCTCTGGAAGTACACAAATACAAGACTGAAAAGTGACTTTGACTCAGAAATAATCAAAATGGTCATTAATCAAAAGGGCTATAATCAGTATGGATAACAGCTTATCATCCTCTCAATGGCCAAAATCTGTTTCAAAGCTGTGAATGTCCACAACCACATCCCTTCTTTTGAGATCCCTGCTATGTATTTAATTAGTATTATTTGTGATTTTGTAGTTGGGCATCAGAACTGCATCAATAACACTGTCTTCTTAAATTCCAACATTGACGCACATGGATGCTTTAAGTCAAAGCATGTCTCTCCTATGCTGCAATCATTTCTACTGTGTTTTGAAATGTCCTTAAAACATAAGGTTTATACTCTAGCTTATTTATATTTTGCAATATATATGGAATTTTCTCTTTTTGCCTGGGAGCTGGAGTTGAGAACACCATGCTTTAATGAAAAGAGGTTGTGTTTGCAGCACGCCTTGTGGGTTTAAATATCCAGCTTGACTGCACATTCTGTGACCTTGAGCAATACACTTGACCTTCTGAGATTTGGTGTTTTCTGTGTAAAATGGAAATACAATGTTTTTCTCACAGGATTTTTGTTAGAATTAAATGTTCTTAGCCCATTCCTACACCTCTGCCTGACTTATAAGACTTAGGGTGCATTCCGTGTTCCTAACACCTCCACTTACTCCCAAAATTATCACGCCCATTTCCATGGCTTATAAACCCACCTGTATGTTGGTAACCACCAGCTTTATGTCTCTAACCTGCCTTCTCAATTCCAGACTCATTTATCTAACTGCCTACCCAACATGGCCACTTGGGAGACTAAGGGACATCTCAAACGGACATGCCTGAGCAGCATTCTTGATCCACCACTCCCTTCTGCCAAACTGTTCCTCCCTCAGCCTTCATTTCAATCAATGGCACCTTTTCCTCATTTCCTACATTTTATCTCAAATATATGTAGAATGTATTGCCTTCTCTTCATCTTTGCTTTTTACCAATCTAAATTAAGCTAAAATCTACTCAACTCCCTGCTCTATTCTGCTCCTCTGTAAAACTGCCTGACGGATTTCCTGTCTATGTTTTCTGTTGCTGTGTTACAGCTTACCATCAGCTTAGTGGTTTAAAACAGCATGAATTTACTGCCTCATAATTGCTGTGGGTTAGAAGTCTAGGCTCTGGTTAGCCAGGTCCTTTGCTCAGCTGAAATCATGGTGTCAGCTAGGCCTGTAATCTCCCCAGAAGCTCAGGGTTCCACTGCAAGCTGATTCAGATTGTTGACAGAATTCAGTTCCCTGTGTTTAAATTACTGAAGTACCCATTTTATTGCTGACTATTGCTATAAGGTCACTGTCAACAACTAGAGGTTACCCCAGACCCTTGCCATGTGGCCCCTTCCTTTGACAACATGGAAGCTTACTTTTTTAGGCCAGCAGGAAAATCTCTTTTTTAAGAGTTCACTTGATTAATTCAGGTCCACCTAAGATAATCTCCTTTTTGATTAACTCAAAGTTAATTGATGGGGATCTTGATTATCTCTGCAAAATTCCTTCACTTTAGATATAAAAGAACCATAAAAGATAGCAGAAATAAAATCTCATTGTATTTACAACTTCTGTCCACACCAGAAGGGGAGAGGAATATACTAGGCATATATACTAGGGGCAGGAAATTTAGGGGTTGCTTGGAATTCTGCCTCCCACACTTGGTTTCCACTCGTCTTACCTTCAATCTTGAGAATCCAGCTAGCCAACATGTTTTATGAAATTCATAAATTTACATAAACTTTAAATTAGATCATGATACTAACTTACTATGTTCCAATTACTCCTAATTGCGTTAGTACTAAAATCCAAATTCCTTCTGATAGGCTACAAGGTTTTGCATGGTTTGAACCCTATTGACTACTTCTTGGACTTTGTTTCATGTGACTGTAAACTTAGCTCACTACCCACAGCCACACTGGCCTTCTCTCTGACCCGCAAACATTCCAAACTCATTCCTACCCCAGGACCTTTGCACTTGCCATTTCCTCTGTCTGGAATGCTATTTCTCAGTTATTTACATGATTGGTTCCTTCTTTCCAGTTAGATCTCATCTCAAATATCACTTTTCTTGGTCACACAATATAAAATTTCTCCCTCTGCCTAATAACTTTTTAATCACATTAAAATGTTTTATTTTCTGATTCAGTATATGCTTATCTGTTCATTATCTGTGTCCTTCATTTAACTGTAAACTTGTGAGAACCTGGACTATATCCATCTAACTAACCATTATATCCCCAGTAGCTTGAAGAGCACCTGGCACGTGGGAGACAGTCATGGTGTGTTGGGTGAAAGAAACGGATTCCATCAGAATTAAATGTACTCAGCATAGTTTCTGATAGAAGAAATCTATGTGGGCTGAACAGAATAACATCGGTCATTGACCTGTAATCCAAGTCTAATAAACTGACTGGAGATAAACCTCTTCCTGCTTATTTTATTTTTCAATTGGAAACAACATTTTTTAAGAAGGCAATTCTCACTAGAGCCATGATAAAGCATTTTTTTCTATTCATCAATTCTGTGTATCCTTTAGCATTTTTTACCTATCATTTACCACTTTCTAACTGCATAAATATATAAGCTAATTCTAGGATCTCTTCAGGGTGGGGAAAATCATCCAGTTGCCAGTGTTAACTCTAGGACCCAGGGAGATTAGTTCAGAGAAATTGTAGACAACTTCAGAAATCTTCAGTTTTGAAAGATTATTTTTGGTTTTTTTTTTCTTTTAAAACAGCCTTTGCATTGCTTAGGAACCATTTTAAAGTAGAGGGAGTACTCCAAAATAAATAAATTTGGCTTATTGTTGATGCAGGCTTTATTTATTTACATGTTTTTAAGTGGAAAAATACAAAGTGTGATTTAAATAGAAAAATACTGAAAATCTATCATTTCTATAAAGTTCTTTATAGTTTTTATGATTTGAAAAATAATAAAAATATGTTAATGGTGTTTTTATTACTTCTGTGTTATTTTCTGTACTTTTCCAATGTCCAATTCTTGGTGTTACTGCTTCAAGAAGAAAAATTAAAGACAACTATTTCTCAATTTTTCTTTTTTTTCCCCACAATAAAATAGATAACTGAATGAGAATGTAGACTACATTTGGAAACAATAGATGTGAGGTTACCAAAGAAACTGTGCTTGTACCTGACCTTCTTTATTGCTATTCTTTTTTGTTGTTGTTGTTGTTGTTATTCTGTGAGCCAAAAAGCTGAAAATAACTAGGGGAGATAAAGGAAAAGTTGATATTTTTCACAGAACTTTTAATTATTTTTGTCTGGTCCAGATTTATTCCATTTGACTACGCCCCAAAGCACTATCTATTCTAGGAAGAGCAAGAATACGTCTGGTAAGATGGTTGCAGTTACTTTGGGGCAGAAGAAACAGAGGGGAAACAGCTTTGAGAAGCAAAGTGGACCAGACCAGAGTCCCTTCAGAGCCTGGGATGCCAGCTACCAATGTGAAATGCTAACGGACACATTCAGTTCTGTTAAGCTCATTTTCATCTGCTCCCAAGTCTGCTCGTTTGTCTTTCCTCACTCACGTGCGGATGATGTGTGTACTAACCACAAAACACCCCCCCCCCGCACACCCGTTTCTCGTGCATTCCCATGAGTATCAAGTACTGCGCTAGGTTCCTTCGCAAGCACTTCCTTTTAGACTGAATAAAGGGAACAACAATTATGACATACTCACTCTTGTCTTTGTGGGAAGCAGCGATGACTCTCCAGTTAGAGAGTCAAGAGATGCAGAGTCAAGGTCACCTCTTTCCTCAGTGGTGAGCATCCCCCTCATCTCCCTTCTGCGCTGGTAGCACAGGGAAGGCGGGAGCTGCCGCTTCCCACTGACCGTCAGAGACGATTCTGCTCGTGCTCCTTCCGTGAACGCTTTTCCCCGTGTTTTCACACAGGCGCTACCCTGAGTGTCACTGCATCAACTTCGGGTCGTGGTTTATCATGTCTTTCCCGGCTGCTGTTATTATTCTCCTCTTGTCCTGGGTCTGGCTTCAGTGGCTGTTCCTAGGATTCAAGTGAGTACATCCTCCATTTCAGTCGGAGAAAAAAGGTGTCTGGGTTCCACGTTCTTGGCTCCTCGTGCAGGGCGTTTACACTCATTTCACATGTGCTGCGTTTTTTTGCACTACTTTTGCCCCGCACAGCTGACACGTATGAACACATACAGTAAAGATACTCTAGAATATCACCTAAACCATGCTGGCTGTGAAAGAGAGTTTGCAGAAAGCAAATGCATCTTGGTCTCCTTTGATCCTAAGCCATGAAGGTATTAATAGACCAGAAGGGCATAAGGAGCTTATTATGAGGAGGACGGACACAGTCCAACCTGTTAAAGTGGAATTTTCAGAAGTTTTGTCTCTCCTCTTGGTTTAATGTGGGGATTTCCTCAGGTTGTCAAGTTACCTTAAACTGATGTGCAGGGCTTCCTGCTTCATCCTAGCACCAACATTGATACATCCTTGAAAAACTAAAATAAAGATCTGAGAGTATGCTCTGAGGAAAGAATATTGGATTGGAATCAGGAGACCAAGGACAAAGCTGTGGCTTCTTTCAAGCCAGATGAGTGACCCTTGCAAGTCCCAACCCATTCTCAATCTTAGTGTCTTCAACTAAATATGATAGAATTTAACCGGAAGATCAGCAAGATCACTTACAACGCCGTGATTCTAACACGGATGGGCCCAAGGTGAATACAGAGAAGTCAAGGTAGGATACACTGATCAATAAAGAGCCAGAAGTTACCTACCTCCTCCCAAAGAAAATAAAATTTAAAAACAAAGAGCCAGAAAATGTCAAATATACATATTCACGGAGAATTTGCAAATGTTACCTTGGCTGGGACTAAAGTCGGTGGTTCATAAATACCGATGAGTCATATAACTTATCCCAGCTTTGAAAATTATCATGCCAGGCTTCAGAGCAAAATCTCAAATGCTGCATCATAAATCCAACATGACAATACTCCAAACAGAAAGGGGAAAGGGCTGGGTATCAAATCTTGAGGAGTTTTTCCTAAAAATAACAAAACAATTTAACTTCATTTTTAGAGAGTTTGATCTGAATAATTGCAGGGACCTATCAATGAAACAGCATGTTATCCACCAAGCGATGAAACTGAAGTCAGCTATTTGTGCTGCCTTTGAAAAGTCAAACACTGAGATCGGGTGGTGGTCCACACCCATGTCCGAGTTTTCCAAGCTTGAGTCATATAAGGACTAATATTCTTCCCTCTCCATTCCTCTTCCAGGTTTTTCTCCAGAACTGCTATAATTTTGTTAGTAATGGGGAGATGGCACTGATGATTTTTTTAAAAATCTATTTGTCCAGATTGTGGGAGCAGTGTGAGGCCATCCTCCTGCTGAAACAAATGTGTGGAATGTCACTGACTTCAGCAGGTGGGCATCAGTGGGGAGAGGCCAGCTGCATACCAAATGCCTCTTCCTGGAAATCCAAGCCTTTGGGAGTCTATTCAGTCATACAGGTAGCAACGCAGGATGCAGGGGGCAGGGATCCCCAACCAATGGAGAAAGCATCTGGTCCCAGACCCACAACTGTTCCTTTCTCTTTTTTCTTTTTTTTTTTCTACTACGTATAATGACTTTACAAAATATGTATGCCACCCTTGTCATTTTTCTCTTGAAATGTCCCACCGTTTAAAAAGGAGAAATTAAGAAGATAAAGGGCAGATGAAATGTGTTCTCTATGAGGACAAAAAAAATCCTGTGAAGTGCATACATTAGGCAAAGTCCATAAATCATGATCAGTGGCATGTTGAAACAGTCCCTTTGCTGTCCACTTTTGGTTCAACACAGCGCAGCTTCATGCTCCAGCTAATTTTTCAGTGTCCTCTTCAGTCTGCCAGGGTGTTCACCTCCGGAGGTTTTAGATCGACAAACAGAAATTATCAGCCACTCCCCTGGCAGGCCACCATGCATTCTGATTAGTGTGTTGGCTGTTCACACAGTTAATTCACTCATTATAAATGACCCCAGCCTACCTGGGAAGTGAGGTCATCTATCCATGCCACCGAACTTATTCAGATGGAGAGGCTGATGCATTGTCATATGCTTCATCTGTTCCTTTGTGAAGGCATTAACCTTCATTTGTAGCAAAGCCAATTTGGCTTTTGACTTAACTATTGCTTGGCCCCAACCAAAGTGACAAAATACACATACAGTCTACTGGGTAGAAACCAGTTTCTGAGGAGACTCACTTCTTCTTTCTCTAACTCTCCTTTTTTATTCTACAGATGGTTCTCAAGGTTGTCTGTGGATTCGTTTCTTTTAATGGTAGTATTTATGCTGTGACAAAGGGTAAAATTTCAAGATGGACACTAGTCAGTAATTTAACTGAGACTCTAAAAATTAAATATCATCTTGCTGATCTTAAATGCAACAGCTTCCACCTAATCGCGTTCAGTGGGGGTCGTGTGGGTAGAAGGGTGATTATGAATCTGTAGGATGGATGACTTAAGAATTGAGGAAACTCTGCTCCTTCGAAGGTAATAACAGTCCATCTGAGTAGCAGAGTTGCAGAAAACGGAGTAAACATAACACGTCTTTGTGTGATAGCTGCCCTCCCACCATAGCAGTCTTCCTCTTTACTCCATCATAAATATCCATGTTTACCCCAGCAATTTTGCCAAAGAAAATGTCCCTGCTTCTTTTCTTTCTTAAAACTGCTGTATTCAGGTATGATTGACATACAAAAAGCTGTACTTACTACATGTACACAGAACTTACTGTCTGGAGGTAAGCAAACAGCCATGAAACCATTGTCGATATCATTGCCGTAAACTTACCCATCACTTCCAAAAGCTTCCTCCCATCTCCTTTGCTTTTTTGTTGTTTTTTTTTCCTTCCTACTGTAGTACAAGCACTTCACATAAGATCTACCCTCTTAGCAAAATTTTAAGTATATAGTATAATATTGTTAATTATAGGCTCTATTTTGTACAGTCGATCTCCACAGCTTGCTTACTTTGCATAACTGAAACGTACCCTTTGGTCAACGCCTGCCCATTTTCTCCTCACCCCAGCCCCTAGCAATCACCGTGTTTATTTTAGACTCCACAAATAAGTGAGATCACACAGTATTTGTTTCTCTGTGTCTGACTTACTTCATTTAGTATAATATCCTCCAGGTCCATCCACAGTGTAGCAAGTATCAGTGCTTCATTTCTTTTTATAACTAAATAATATTCCGTTGTATGTGTGCACCACTTTTTTCTTTATCCATTGGTCCATCCATGGACATGTGAGTTGTTTCCATATCTTGGCTATTGTGAATAATACTGCAATGAATATGTGAGTGCAAATAACTCTTCAAGATTTAGATGCCAGTTCCTTCGGATATATGCCCAGAAATGCTTTCTATACCAACATATAACATATTCTAATTTAGCTATTCATATCATACATTCTAAGAGATAATCCATAATAATCTGACCATTTTCCCTTTTCTTTCTTTCTCTGGGTTTTTTTTTTTTTAATCAGGCTTTAGAGCAGCACCTTACAAAAAAAAACTGTTCAAGGTTTTGAAGACCCTGGACTTTTCAGGATAAGAAAATTATTCACAGGGGAAAGAGGTCACTAAAATAAGCAGCTAGAATAAGAGACTGACAGTTGCTATTGAAAGTAAATTGGAAAATTATCTGGTGGATGCTATTAGGACATAAGGAGTGAAGAAACTCAAAGAAAAATGGAATTGGATTTAGTTCTAAGAAGAGACCTAGTTTGAACTTTGTTCACAATCAGTGTGTGTGTGACTTTCCATCCCTAGTGTATAACTGTGAAAACTGATGGATCTAACAACCAACTATCTTATAAATTTGACAAAGTTAATGAGTCAAGTATTTATACCAGTGTTTAGAGATACTGGGCCAAAGAAAACATTCTTGAAACTGCCCCCTGCCCTCAAATAATTTGCTTTCTCATTAGTGAGATAAATCTTATACATATGCACAATGAACAATTAAGATACTTAAGAAATACATTAAAATATGTAGCAATCAGGTGTATAATAAAGTATTAAATTGGAAGTGAGTGGCACATGGCAGAATTCCAATGGTGCAAAAGGACTTGGAAAAGGAAGAGATCAGTGGGAGATGTCATGGAAAACGTGGGAGGAAAGTCAAGCATTGAACACTGAGCAAACCAGGAAAAACCAGAAAAGAGGGGAGAGGACATTCAAAAAAAGGAGATAGAGGTATAGACAAAAAGCACAGATTTCTATTATTGGCAGAGAGATTTGCATTTCTGACTTTTTCACACAAAATTCTATGAAGGAAAAATTCTTTGCTTAACAGGCTTAATTATTCTTTTCAGTTTTAAGGAGTTGTTCAAATGTGGTAAGACCAAAACATCCAGACAAAAGGCTTGTGCTGAGGTGATTAAACAGGAATACCAAAAACTTGGACCAATAAGGTAAGATACACACACACACACACACACACACACACACACACACACACACAGAGCTATATGCTGCTTATACTCCAAGTACTTGTTTAAAGGCAAATATGCACATAATGTCTGTAATGTATTTATTAACCCTTGAAAATGTTCTAACCTTTGCGAATATAACTCAACATAATAAAACACATACCTCATCTAACTAAAAGGTACCGGATAGGACAAGAGGCTGGCAGGATTCTGCTGATTCTCTTATATTACTGACACGTCGGGGTTTTACCGTGTTTAGTGTTCTGCTAAGATCACACTTGACAACAGCTCAGGGAGCTTCTGCAAATGTCTTGGCTGAGAAAATACATGAAAGGATTGGAATTTTCCCACAGGTATCAAGAAATTGTGACCTTAGTCCTCTTCGTTACAATGGCTGTGCTCTGGTTCACCCGAGAACCTGGGTTTGTTACCGGTTGGTCTGCACTTTTTTCAGAGTAAGCATTCCATGTTATGTTTGTGAACCCTTTCTGTTTTATACTCTGCTTTTCTTCTAAATGATTTCTGTAATTCTGGGAGAGTGTATGAGATTTTTTTTTTCTTCCTTTTCCATTGAAAAGATTTTTTTCATTCTAATCTTTTCAGGAAAAAAAAAAAAGATAAGGAATGAAATCTAGGATAAGGCAGCAAATGAGATGACCAAACTGCCCTGTAACTAAAAATCAGGCTCATTCAGACAAGGCTATTTTCATCCTTACGAAATTAGAAATATAATTGGCAGGAAAGCCATGTTTTAAGATGGTTCGGAGTATGGACTTTGGAGCCACATTGCTTGGGCCCCATTCCTGGCTCTTCCACTTACCTTGGGCAAGTCACTTACCTCTCAGTCTCTCCATCTGTAAAATGGCACCAATAATGGCACTTGAAACAGTGCTCCCCTTCTACCCACAGGGAGTGCAATATAAATACTTATTATGTGAACTAAATGCCACTCAGCATTTCTTAGTAACCTGATCTGAATTCATAGTCTGTGATTTTTGCTGACTTATTTTTTTGTATTTCTGTGGAGGGTGGTTTGCTTGGTTCGCTCTCTTGTCTTTTCCTCTACTGATGTCCATCTCTGTATGAGTTCACTATAAACCCACCCCTGCCCCTATTTTATAGGTGAGGAAGTCCTGAATAAGTATTAAGACTGAGTGTACAAACTAACATTAGAAGCTGGGCCAGAGTTAATTTTATCTCTCAGCGTCTTCTATCCCGGCACACGTTGCTGAGTCATGTGAAGTGAGGGGGAGATTGTAGCATACTTTTCTAAATTAAGGACCGTCCTACATGCCAGTATAAATACTTTGGTTTTGCGATTTGCGTTCCCAAGTCTTATCTTTCACCGAAGCACTCCACTTCCTAAATTCAGCAGATCTCTGATTTGAACTTCCTGTCTTACACCCCCCAGCGAAATTCAATGTAGTTAGGGGCAGAAAACAAAATTATTTGAGTCAGATCTGTTCTGCCCACATGGAATAAAGAAATTCCTCTCTTCTTGAATCAGAGCCTTCTGGTGATATAGGCACTGCCAACATTTTTTTAAAGCTGCAGAGTCCGTGTGCAAATTCCTAGTGAACACACGAGTGCAGCACTGCTGGGTGGTACATGTTACAAAGGGTCAGCTGCACCCTTGCAAACTTTTTCTTTCCATTAGCACTAAAACTTCTCATTTTAAGAAGTCTAAGCAAAAGGCAGTATCCAATCCTTCAAAGCAAGCTATTCAAAGCAAACTGTTGCTTAACAGTTTGATTAGGACTTTGTAGTTTGGTAAGAGGACCTAGACCAACAGAAAAAATAATTCTCCCTCCTTCTTAAAATCCCACCTCTATCATTCCAGGTAGGGAGAGTCTTCTCTAAACACCAGTGTGTAAAAACTAAAAAACCAGACAATGGCTAATAAAAACCAGGCAGAAATCCCAATAAGAAATTCAATATAATCAGTTTCTAATTTCTATTCCTTATGGGAGGAAAATGTAGGAGATGTTCTGTCTGTAGCAAGAAAACAACGTATTTGTTATGGGGAGTTGCTCATGTTACCTAGAATTCTGACAAAACCAGAAGAAAAGGAACGAAGGCTTGAGGGAGGAAAGGATTTGAATATATGCATCTAATTGGCTATTAGACTTATAAATTGCCAAAGCAAATAAAATTCGCAGAGCTTAATATTTTATAATATTGAGGCAACCTAACTTAGTTCATAATAAACCAAGAGTAAAACAGTAACATTTTTCAAGTTTTTTGAAAAGCAGTTATTTCAGTATTTATGGCTGGATTTTATTTAAAGTATGTATTCTGTAGAATATATTTGTAACATAGAGGTTTTAGGCATTTAGAGTTTCCAAAGCTAGAATGGCAGATGAAGATTTATAGCTACCACCTCCTGTTTTCATTCCATCTGTTTGAACCTGGAAGGAATTCAATATGTCTTTTCATATAAAACAAAATCAGATTACATGATGCCTGACCCAATTTGGCCAAAATTCAACCAAAATGATAACTGAAATAAGAGAAATAAGAAGCAACAAAATAATAAATGTTGGTTAAGTTTGTTGAAGAAATTACACCCAAGGCAGCTTTTTACTCCACAATGAAATAAAGAAATCTATATTTAGGGAAAACAGACTGCTTTGTAAAATTATCAGATTGAATAAAATAATACATTTCCCTGATTATTCAGATTGCTGAAGTAAATTATAGGAGTAGAGAGCCTCTATAGTACGTATGCACTGCTGAGTTACAAGGTAGCAAATTAATCTTTAGGGTGTACATACTTTTCAGACTATAAGCATTCACTAGTTAATATGCTGAATTTTAAAATTGATTTCTAGTTATTTATGCCTGTTCATATCTGGTCTCCAGGTCCTTCTTAACTGTTGAGGCTTCTAGGAACCTGTCTTACTTGCTAGAATGACCCGGTGATTCTAAGGCCCCATCTGTTCCTGAATCACTGTTAATTTGTATAATGATCATTTTTGAGCATCTCTCATAAGCCATCCTAATCATTTATATTCTTGATTGAGTTTCACAGAGTGCAAAGCATTAAATGGGTTGATTTCATGTGTATGATGTGGCCAGGGCTTATAAACACAGAAGCAGATGTCATATCTTTAAAACAAAAATCAATTCCTTTTCACAATTCCAAAGAAGAGTTTTAGAGGATTCTAGAAACATCCATGCCTTGCCACAGTTTCAACAGTAGCCTTTTATAAATCAGTTATACAGGACTTGGCCTAATGTAATTAAAAGCAATAATTCAGAGAAGGAATTGTTTACCAGATCCATCAGCTTTACCAAAAGGGGATTTTTGGCCTATAATATCATCATGTGTATGTATACACAATTTTGAAACTAAGGAGACACATACAGACAATGGGAGCGTGGTCTGAGATTTTCAGTCCCACTGTTACATATTTAGTTGGGAACCATAGATTTTAGAACAGATTATCCAGAACAAATAGCCTATACCACCACTCCTACTTTATGCTCTAGGCATAGTCAGGTGGTGCCTAGTTCACACAAACTCTTGATGGCATTTTTAAATGCATGTGCTTGTCTTTTTTTTTTTTTTTTAGGTATCCCGGTTTTGCTACAGATTCAACTGTTGCCTTGCTTGTAGGACTCCTGTTTTTCCTTATCCCAGCTAAGAGACTGACCAAAACTACACCTGCAGGAGAAACTGGTTGAGTATTATTTATAGTTCTGACTGAATTTGACAGAAGAGCCAACATACAAAATCCCCTTGGTTTCAGTTAGCACGTAGAACAGAAGGATGGACTCGGACGCAGCCCCTGAGATACATACCCCGTGTGCACACGGCAAGCCCTAACCAGGCAGCACACACCCTCCTTCCCCCTCTAAAGGATCATCTGACTGTGCAGAATGAGAGGTAGACTTCCTTATGCACCACGATTAGGATTCTGCTACGGGTGATGCATTCGTTCAGTCTGCTATAAGCCCCCCTCCCCTGTCACAATCAGAATTAACCTTACTATTGGCAAACATAGAACAAAAACTTGGAAGTCCTACTTCACGATGAACCCTTGGTAATAAATGCTAAGGATCCAACGTGAGGAATTTCAAGGGAAAGAGTACTTACAGCCTCCTAGTAACCTTGGAGAAAATGCTGATCAGCCCCATACTTAGCCATAAGCTAGTGTCACAGTTGAAAGAAAACGTATTCAGGGAGCATTCATTGTCTTTATAACTCATGGACAAAGAAGTGTGTATGTTTATGTGTTTATGCCCCTCCTTCGCACAATACACATACTTCTTAAATACAGGATTCATTTATGCCTGCGCTTTATTCTAACACAACATGTTTTGGGTAGTCAGATTCCTGTGTTGTCAACGTGGGACAAAGGGTTTAAAATTGTTTGAAATCGCCTAATAGAGTTGTGGCTTTTAGTTGTTTTTCCTTTCTTTCCCTCCTTCCTCCCATCCCTCCTTCCCTCATCCCAGTAGTTGCGTTGGCCCACCTGATTCCTTGACTCAGAATTCATAAATGCCTATTGAGTCAGATTTCTAGGTTATGATGTATGTGAACAGTGTAGGGTAGAAATAAATGCCTTTTGCTCTTCACTTGAGACTAGCGTAACTCAAATGTGTTATAAGCAGATGTTGTGATATAGAGCAATGATTGCTATGAGACCCTGAGGACTCTGACCATGCAATCAAAGCCCTACGGCCTTGCAGTGGCAAGTGTTACACTCGGCTTGACTCCTCTGGCTCCCACAGCTGGATCCCCCTCTCAGAAACAGCCTTGCCCAACCCATTAGTCTCTCTCTTCTCATGCTTCAGCTCATCTCCCTGAGAAACTCATTCGCACTAGGTTTTAAAATGACAGCTAAGACATAAAATGTTCAATTTTACATGAGAGGTACAATCCGAGTTGTTTACATTTTAACAGGACATATGGCCTTAATTCAAGTAGGAAATAGCAAAACTTCCATCAACAGTGAGGGTGGGTTTGGTTTAGCTTCTAGGAAAGGAGGTAATAAAGAGGCTTATTAGTAACCTTAAAATCTCACCTTGTGGAAGCCTCCCTGTTACACACAAATGTTAAATGGGACTCGTGTGTTCATGGATGATCTTTTTTTCTAAGAAACTCAGTGGAGCCATCAGTGCCAAATATCAAGAGAAATCTTTAGGATTATTGCTTTATGAGTACTTTAAGGGTCTCATGAATAATATGTAAATTATTTAATCTGAATTTTGAATAATTTTAAATTGAAATCCTGATGAATCTATCATGACCCTCCTCATGATTTGAAAAAAATAATATAATGTTCAAATAAATGTTAGTGAATCATAATTATAATGCTCCACTGATGCTGTTAGAATCAGAGGTATATTACAGACATTTTCCATAGCAAAGGATAGTATAGTCCAATGCACATGTTACTCATAGGCAAAGATGTTAGTGGAATAAGTGAATAAATAAATAGCATTATAGACGACAATGTTATTATTTTTATCTAAATTTATTCTCTAATAAAATCCAAAGGATTTTTCCAACTTATGGCATTTTTTTTATAATATTCTACCAAGGCCAGATGAAAATTACTCGAAGTCCAGATCAAATTCCTATTTAAAAACAATATAGGAGTATTAAGAACTTCTTTTGAGATGGCCCTTCAGGATAATAAAGAATGTATATTGTCGTATTTTATGCAATGTGTAACTGTAGGACTTTTGGTTGCAGTTGCTTTTGATTACTCTCCACTGATTACTTGGAAAGAATTCCAGTCATTCATGCCCTGGGATATAGCCATTCTTGTTGGTGGAGGGTTTGCCTTGGCAGATGGCTGTGAGGTAAGACTCTGTGTCTAAGATAGTTGGTAATTAACCAGACTGTTCAAGAGGAGAGCGCAGAGACCGGCAAGGTTTGGCATGTTCAACTTCACCCTCACTGTAATGATGCAGACTTCAGTAACCATGCAGTCAGTATATGACACCGATTAGGTGAGTTCAGAGCTCAAGATTTATTACAGGCATAAAACATCATTTTTTTATGACGCCCCAGTATATCAAAAGAAATAAAATAAAGAAAATTAGAATTCTTAATCCGTGAAATAGTATTAGAAGACCAGCTCAGTAAGAAAATAATTATATAAAAATTATATGTTCAGTGACTCCTAGCAGAACACATTTTTTTGTTTATACCTTTACCCTATTTTATGATGAGTTTAAGTAGCTCTTAGACTTCTCTGCAATATATTATGGTCCTAAAGTTGTTAAAGAAGAAAGAGAAATAATAGTACTTTATAATATTGCTTAATTATTATATATTTTTATTACATTAGATACGTTAAAGGTACTTAGTACATGTTTACTAAATGAAGTCCAGAAAGAATTTCACATAGCCGTGTTTAATATTGCATTGTGTCTAATTTTAGGAAGAAATAAAACCACCGTGAGAAATAAAGTTGGTTATTTTTTTGGCCTATCTTCTATCCAGTTGATATAAAGTAAAAATCTGGGGAGGCCTGTGTCCCTTGAAATGGGCCTGGTCATTACAGGGTTGCTCAAAGAAAAGTATCTTCTCCAACACTCCATGGAAATCCTTCACTCTTTGACTAATTATAAACCTCTCATTTCTGGATTTAGCAGCCTTCAGCAAAACACTCAAAGCTCAGGGATATTCCATTTCCTTATTCAGTCATCAAAATAAAAAGGATGGTGAGAGAGATGTTGCATCCAGCCCTCAGTTTCTGAAAGTTAAATTTTTATAGTTTTCAAGGCAAATAGCAGTCTGTTCTTGTCTCTTCTTGATAACCTAAGGGAAGACTGTTTTTTGCTTCGGACTTTGTCATTTTTTTTCTGTATGATATTTGGATACTGAGCTTTCAGCGGTTTAGTAATAGATGGAAGTGTTAGAAATTGTCTAAATTCTGAGTGCCCCTTACAGTGTCATTTTAGGTCTAGATTTGGCTTGCCTCATGGACTGTTCCAATATAAATGATAGAAATAGAAGACAAATACCCTTTTCTGCTAGCTCAGTAGTAATGAGATCTGGTTTCTCAGAATAAATAACTTCCATTTCTATGTCTGCTAATTTGAATTATGAAGAAATCAGAATCAGCAGTACTGGCATTGATGGAATTTGTTCATCCTTCCTTCCCAGAATTGAGATTGGATCCTAGACTCTTAAAGTAGATTTAAAAGCATTGGCCAGATCCCAGAATAGCAAAACCGAAGGAAATGAAAAGGTGTGGACTTAGTCTAATGCACCAGGCTCTCTCACCGGGAGAATTGGGGAAATCATGAAGGGAGTCTGTTTTGCTGTGAAAACCCTAGTACTTAGAATCAGACTTCTATGGGATACCCAGAATCGCCTTACCCCTGAGTGGCCAGACTGAAGCCATGAACTTAAAAAAGATAGCTGTGGAGAACTATTCCCCTAGAAACTGGTTTTACAAAGATTTGAAGATAGTTAATTTTTTAAAATTTTGTTCCAAACTGTAATTAGTTTGGCAAATATCCAGCACTAGATAACCTTTCCAGTTGGGAACTGTTTTGAGGTAGCAGTTCCTACAGCACTCACCTCATTTTCATCCCCTCTCTTAAATGCCTCTGGATTTTGCTTTAACATGATTGAACTCTCATGAGCTGTGATTGTCACCTTCAAAATCTCACCGGTGAATAACTCCTCCCTCCCTTTTTCACACATCTTTCAAAATTTTTCTGTTAGGTTCAACATGGAGGATTTAGCACTTTTACTCAGATCTCTGCTAACATGGCAGTAACAACAAAAAAGTATTACTCCATAAAGATAAAGAATATACAGCAAGAATAATAACATACAAGAGATATTGATAAAATTTAGAAGATGAAAAGAAGATATTGAAGGGGTCAATGACTATGCACAGTAGAAGAAATAGAGAAAGATTAAATCTATGGGCCTGCCAAAAAAAAAAAGCCAAAAAGAAACAAACTGATTCAGCCACAAGATTCCAGAAGAGCATAGGAATTGGAAGCAAAAGAGTAACTGAATACTAAGGGAAAAACCAGGATTAACAATGAAAGATTGCTTAAAAAGTATATTAGGAGGTGTGAGACTCCCAGATACCCTCTCCAGTCCTGAACAGACAGGCAACTGCTCTCTCTCCTCCCTGGTGAAAAGTGTAAATTTACTTTAACAAAATTCAGTCATTGAGACACTGGCTCACAGTTCAGTCACTGTTGTAATGTCTTCTCAGCAGTCTTTACCCAGGCACAAAGAGCTTCCAATCATCATTTTAT